GGTCATCATATCTACAACGATACCAATAAAATGCGGGCTTTGTAGAATCTCTTGCGATAAGATTACGGTGAAGACTTTCATTTTGTTTAGAGTACATGGTGAAGTGGTTGCAACAAAAGGAGTCACAGAAATAGCAGGACTGAAGTCGTTTCTCTGGGCTTGTGAAGAAGGGCAACCATTTGACCTGAACTTTGCCTCGATTGGTAAGATTTTTCTCTGATTCCTCCTGAGCACAAGCTGTACACATCAGCCGTCCCTACTGAAGCAATGAACATGTTTGGACGCCGAAACCAATTCTACAGTTTATTACCGGTTTGAAGTCACCCACTGAGTCTCGAAGCCATTTGGCCTAGTCCCCTATTTTCACCACTTCTGATACCGACTGTGGCCGAATTGGTGTCTGTGCCAGTCAGTCTTTATCGCCGAGCGAGAATAACTACTGGCTAAGATGTCCGCGTCTGTTAGAAGTCGTCCTGTACAGGGATAGATATCTGTACTTGCCTGTCCGGGTGACGACTCGGGAGCATTAGCCAACCCTGACTGGAAATGAACTGTTCGGCTGTGCAATCCGTCAGTCATTCGGGCACATGCCGACACAGCAACCCGACCATTCTGGTACATACGGCAAAGGCAGAGGATGCGCCAGTGTCACTGTGCCCGTGTCGGCCGTCGCGTCTACCAGAGACGGGGAGGGCGGAATCTGTGTCCCGGGCAACGAGAGCTTCGCGATTGGTTGTGGCTAACAGTTGCGCCAAGTCTGGACACAGAAACGGTCACCTGTCCGAAAAGCCGTTTCCAAGATGAGCAGAAGTGACCAGTTGAACATACAACCTCCATTCCCACCTCTTCACACCAATTTCGCCCATCTGACTAAGTGACCATCAGGCCTCCATGCGTTCATCCATCAACTATATTCACATTAGCATGCATCCACGGGCAACCTTCCTCCTAATAGCCTAACCACTTAAATGCATGCCCAAATAGTCGCAAAACGCAAAGTACGCCGCATAAAAACTACTACCCGTCAATCAACTTATGTCCTCTGAACATACTTTTATTACGTTTCGTTTATAAGTGGGTTTTAGAGACTATTCGAGACACTTCAAATGTAATTTTATTACACTTTCGCTATATATAGCGCAACTGTAATAAAAGTATACATATACATACATACATACATACATACATACATACATACATACATACATACATACATACATACATACATACTATATATATACATACATACAAACAAACAAACAAACAAACAAACATACATACATACATACATACATACATACATACATTATATACATATATATACGCGTAATTTAATAATAAACATATTTCTTTTGGGCATATACTACTACAATAATACCATTATATATATATGATTGGATAAAATGCGACCTAGACGATCATCAAGTTCGTACATCCATCGTTTGCATTATTATTTAGTCAAAATCTTAATTTTTACATCCGTATGCATATTAGGATGGTAAACTTTTGTTTTGGAGGTAAACATATAACAAATAGGAATTTATATACAAGACACTAACGTGGAATTCAATAAATAACAAATTTATTTGAACAATGGCTTTTGATCATTCTGGTTGTAATGACGATCCAGGTGCCGCCGTAAGCTTGGAAGTATTTCGTACATATAAAGACCAAAATGTTGTGGCCTTTTGTTCTGTCGCAGTTTAATTTAGCCATGTAGTGTTGGTATGACATCGTTTTAGTAATTTGGTCCGAGCAACAGGGAGGCATTGTGAAACGTACCTAGTCCTGGGTCCTCTGGCATGGTATTCATGATTTCTAGCATCGGACGGTTGACTTGGTTCATTCCGAGACGTTTCGCAGGCATCGTAGTTGGTAGTATTTTCTTTCCAGCCAAGGTTTGAAGTCGAAAACTTGTGTAGCTTAATGAGTCCTCTCAAAGAATCCGGAAAGCGAATGAGGATTGCCGTATAGTGAAGAGTGTTGTATTGCAAAAAGAAGTGATCATCTTATTATCCTGCGACCCCAATGATACTGTGCTAAGCTTTTGTCTATACTGTGTTAAATATTATTAGAGCAAGAAGCCATACAATAAAAAATATGCAAAACTATACTAATCCAAGAGAAAATATCAAGGTTAAAAGGTTTCCTCAAGGTTTAGTATATTTTTACTCTCTTTCTTAGAGTATGGATTCTTGTTCTGATGACTTCTGTCACAGTGTAGAGGAAAGCTTAGCACAGGTTCATCGTGGTCGCAGGATGGTGAGCTGAGGACCCCTTTGCGCAAAACAACAGTTCGACAATCCTCTTTCGGTTTCGACGAGACCAAATCACGAATTCCTTTCAACCAACTTTTTCTCCGAAATGGAAAGTCATGTTAAAAAATTGAGATTTGGGTTGCCATACTATTTGAAAGACATCGTTGGCCAATACGAATTAGAGAAGACCATTCGACTATTCTTTAAGGCACACAAATTCATATCAAAAGCACAAAAATGTATATAGAATAAGTTGGTGAGTGACAGTTGAACTTGCATACGTGAATGCATTCTTGCGTGTGTACTTTTGTGATGTGTAAGTGAGAACATGAAATCCCCAGTCATAAGTCAGAGTAATTAGACCAGGCTGTAGCGTCATTCTGGGGCTATCAAGTTTTAATTACCTAAAGAGAGGTAATTCCAAAGGTAAGTTTGGTTCAGCCGATGAGTTTTACAGATGCATAAAGTTTATGTGAATAAAGATATCAACATCACTTAATCGACCGGTTGAGCCGCCTTTATTGAAAAGAGGATTTAACAACCTTTTTCTCGTCAAATTTCAGTCCTAGCTGCACATAAGCGCACCGAAATGGACACACACATATGCTTCAAGATTTACACATGACGCTAAGAATGATATCTTTCTTTGATAATGTTCTGATGATGTTTCTGCAAGAATGTTCTAGTAATGCTGAACGATAACTGGCCAGGTGATGGGATTGACTTTCGAAGCTCTTTATCACACTTTTTCCCTCGAGATGGAAGTGACGTCAACATTAGTAATCTAGGGGATTCCCCAAAACCGAACATTTCTTCGCAGATACTACTTCTGCCATGCCAATAAATAAATGAATTGCAATACATACATCTGACTTAGAGGTTAAGGGCCAGTAATCTTTATTACATTGAGTATTTTTCAGAGTCAGCCATGTAGTTTCGTCCCAAAATATGAAAAAAGTCAAAATTTCTGCTCTCAAGGCAACTTTAAATGCGATATCAGTAATACTCATGAAAAAATTAAGTAGTCATAAAAGATAGATAGATATAGCCCTGTGACTCCTCTGCTAACTTACTAACAACTCTCCCTTCACAAGTATTTGTTGATCCACTAGTCAAAAGTTTTTCCCTGTAAATAGCCACTGTTCTGTCACCTTTCTTACTTTACTGCACTGTAAACTTGTTGGGGAGACCTTCATTTCGTATGAAAGTGTATGAAGA